TTTTGCTCTTGCGAAAGATGCAGAACCAGTGTTCTATAGATGCTTAACATAAATTTTTGGCTCTACTGATGTTTGGCAGTGCGTTATTGCGCTTTAAATGCTAGTTAGTTAAGAAAATGCTTGATTCATGTGTCAGTGATAATAATTTGCCCTATATGTAAGAACTACTTAGCCAATCGGACTTTTCGTTTTACAAGAAAAACAAACTAAACCCATTCATTTCGGTTGTATGAGTTTGGACGCTTCATGTTTTATTTCGTGTACATGTCAAACACTTTATCTCATTGTCTATAAAGCATAAACTTAGTAATTGACCAAATACTTTGTTTTTGCCTTCTTTTACTTGCAATTCCAGATTACTGAAGCCAAAACTTTGTCTTTGCATTTGGCAGCGGAAAAGAGGCAGCCAAATGCCATGACTCTATGTAGATAGTAATGTGATTTGCCAGGAGAATCTATAGAATCTACTCAGTTGAAAGGATGCTGCAATCGAACCGCTTGTTACCTAAAAACCAACTCAAGTAGTCTCAACTACTGCTGATGTTGATGTTTGAGCTGTTATGGAAATATTTGCTAAATACTCCAAATCTGTTGATTCCCCTATCCGTCACGCAACGTGGTAATGGTTGGCACCTATGATAAGAAATTGCAAAGTCCGAAGCAAATTGTGTTGAGTAAGTGCTTTGTACGAAGTAGTTTTGCGATAACCTCGATAACTGCAATGGAGTCGATTTAATTGCAAATCTTGATTTTGCATAAGGCATAAACTAGTGTATGTGGTGAGAAATGCTACTGCGACAATGTATGTTACTTGTTCAATGGGATAAAATATCTGCTCCCCTAAGTCTATTCTAGCAATGGCCTGCAATATTTCGCAAAACCTCTGTCTGGTGAAGCACAAAATTGAAGAGTATTTCAAAGTGGGGAACAGGATAAAGTTTAAAATGGCCGACTTATTTATAACAAGGACATATTTCAGAGATTTAACCATAAAATGATGCTTGATACGTCCGTCTGTCCCTTTTATTCAACTCATAGGAAAAACCGATCTCGTTTGTGTCATTGACTTACTTCATCCAGTCGTGCCAACTATCAACATATGCCGACTCCATCTGTTCTCATTAAAGTGGACATTTCCTAGTCTTGTCCAAGAGGCATCACTATACTTTGATGTTTTTAGCGAGTATTGCATGGTAGCACATTTAAAGTGCTTGATTTTTCTATGAGATAGCATTTAAAAGACGAAATGTCTACAGACAGCCCTGTCAGCCTAAAATCATACCTCCTGGTTTCTTTAAATGAATACTTTGACATTATGGACAATTTAGCTCTGAATAACACTATAGAGCTGAGAGTTGTTGCAGCCTGAACTTTCCTCAGAGGCGTATTTTACGTATGCACAACTTTAATTGCGACCAGCACTTCATTTCTCTTCGAAATATTTGGTAAATACGCCTCATCCACTGGTTACTCTTTTTGCCACTAAGTGTGGTGGTGGTTGCCTACTCTATTTCTCCATATGCAAAATGATGGGTTCAAGGTTACTTCGTTTAAGAGAACGTTTAGGAGAAATCGCGTTGTCAAAGCAATTTTAGAGATTGTCTTATTCAGAAATTATGTTGAAGCAAATGATTTTGACTCTACAGACCTCAAGAGAATAGCACAGAAGATGCGTTCCGTATCATTCCTTTCAAAATTCTCACAGTGAATGTGTTAAGTTTTACCAGTTCATTAAATGATATTTATTGAAGCTATTTTTAAAAAATAAACAATTGGCTGCAGAAGGCTTTTACAGATATTTGAAGCTACATTGAGTTGCAAAACATGCATTATATATTTTGGCAAAATCACATGAAAATGTAGGCAAATTTTAGTAAGGCTTCTAAAAAATCCTAACTATTTACTTAAATCTTTCTTTTTAGTTTCGTAAAACGTAGAGAAATAAGAAATATGCAATCAGCAAAAGCATTTTTTCCGTCCTAAAGCCAATTAGTATACTGAAGCGTCCGAGGAGATTGCATTGCAAAATATTTATTTGGGCTACTGGTTAATATTAAACAAATTACAAACGGTTGTATTTAAGTAAACTTGCATGCAGTCCTTCGTATAAATTGATACAAATGTTGATACTTTACCCATCTAATAACATAAGTCTTCCAGAATGCAAATGAAATTTGTTCAGTGGAATAAAGGGCTAATATTTAAGAAGGAACCATCAAAATAGTTTATCACACAAATGGCATTTTAATTGCACGTCCTCTCGGTGAGGTTCAGTTTTTCCATTTGGTGCTCAGTTTAGTGGCCAAACTTGGTCGCTGCGAATCATAATGAATGAAGGCCATTCAGTCTGCAATCAACGATTTACTAAAATCGGTTAGAAAACCCATCGCAACCTATTAAAAACTTTGGCATTGCAAATATTGGAAGCATGTTGAGTTAGTTTCGTATGTATCGAAAAAATGTGAATAAAAGTGGCTAAAAACTATCTACTGTTCCTAGAGAAAGTGATTCATTTGCATTAAATATCTTATTCACACAACATGCATGAAAAAATTTTGGGCCACTCGTGCCATCAAGCAGTCATAATAGGTGCTTACACGTTTTATCCGGCGTCAAACACATCCACAATCCGAGCAGCCGCATTTACATAAAGCCTTTTAGGCTATGTCATTAAATTCCTTTAAGACAACATTTTGTCCTGGTGGTACTGTGGTGTGTTTTTTAATTAAGTGTGATAAAGTCAATGCTGTGACCAAACGCTGAACCCACAAACTGTCGTAAACTACTGTTTTGAGTGGATACATTTCTGCTTGGTTTGAAAGAGAATCGTTTTATGGAGATGTTGAGCGATATGAAGTTGTTAGGCACAAATGCCAAGCATTGAAAATTTTGAAGGTAGAATATGTAAAGATAATTATTTATTTACGATAAAGATACCATAATATGTGAACACAACTTCCACTTTGTATTTACAATTAGTGCTAAAATAAAGCCTTGTGGAATGGAAGTAGAATCTCTTTTTACAGTTGATTGCATATGCATATCCGGCGAATAGAGGGCTAAATGAACGTTGCCCTCCTCATGGGTGTGGTGCTTGAAGATGGTGCATTAAAACTAATGTCTCACGGGTATTAGTGAAAGCATGCTTATCTCAGCCATAACCAATAAGACGAAACTTAAAAAGTTATGTGGAAAGACTAGAGCATCGGCACACACGAGTCGGGCGTGGCCAATTCGTGATTCCTAAGGTGTAATCCCTTACATACTGAAGGTTTATAATTCATTGGAATTTGTTGATCTACAAGTAATGGTGGCCACTCTCCAAATTGTTATAAAATTAGGTAAGAGTGGCATATGGTGTGACTAAATGAGATGCACCTTCAGTGCAATAGTCATTCTCCAAATCAGCCTAAAGTTGTTCTTCATAAAGTAGTTCGGCGGCGGTATTTTATCTACACATTTATTTAAAAACGCTACGCATCAATTTTTCATGCCCATGTGCTAATTTTTTATACAATAATCGTTTGGTGTGCAGTAAAGTAAAAAAGGGGTTGGTGGTTTACTAAAGTACTGACTCGCATGCAGCAGGGTATTTTGGCATTGAAGCTAAAAAATCCATCTTAATTACTGTTCTGTTTTGTAAAAATTTGATAATAATTATTTGTGTAGAGGGGTTTTGAGACGATCAAGCGAACAATTCTTGCCTAAAATTTGCTCAAAATAGGGAGCGTTTAGTTTGTCCTCTCACATTTCGATGATGTCCTCCTGTGCACTTTAAGCAGCAGACGCGGCGCCTGTTGTAGTGGTCCTCATACCGCAAAATTTCCTCAAATTAGGGCGAGATTCCTGAGGAATCTTTTAACCTGATTAAGCTTTATTTAAAATAATCTGCTTCCCCACGCTGATGGCATTCAGGTTACTTGGGAATAGCCACGCCTAAGAACAGTAAATGCGTATTTTGAAACTCAGTAATATTGCAATTTAAAAATGCTCAAAAGGCTAATTTTTGGCAGAAGAATTTCCGAAATCGCGTAACATATTGTCAAGTACATTAACCAACTTAATCATGTAAACATACGCTTTATGGATAGGACGTTTGCCTTTTGACTGCATGCGCAATGGCACTAACAAATTTTAAACGGCAATGTGGGTTTTAGATTTTGGGTACTTTTGTCATTAGGTCCTAATGAAAATTTGCAGATGACTGTGATCCATTCAGAATCATCTAACCAAAACTAAATGAGTCTCCATTGCCTTATTTTATTAGATGTGTGACAAACTAGACACAACCTACTTGTGTGCGCCAATGCATCGGCATCACCGTATGAAATGATTTCTATCAGTTATAAAATTCTAACAAAAATGGGAATATAACTCCAGTCAATATGGCAAAGCAACTAAAATCATGCCTCTTCCACAAGTGCAATAGGCATGAAAGGTAGTCCCACTTCAATGCGCTACGAGTTCTCAAAATTTGTAAATAGTATGCCTAATTAACAGTGGTAACGGCAAGCTCTTCCATTTCTCACCTCTTTATTACGATATCAATCACAAAAGTAGCATGAAACTTGTGTCCAAATACTTACCTATCCTTACTATAAGTGACTTATTCGGCCTAAGGTAATCTGCCTTTGAACTTTTAATCCAATGACACTTGTGCCTGCCACCACCATTGAATTCAAAGCAGAGAAAGAGGTTTAACAGACCAAAATGTGATTAAAATTGCCTAAGCCTCTTGCTTACACTAGTTATTCCAGTCACCTAGTCATGCAGCTGAAACACAATACAATAGAGTAAATAGTAAATGAATAAAAAACAGACTTTCTTATTGGAGGTTTCGTCTAAATAAATCATTAGAAACACCCCCGTCGATTGAGTCTATAAATGGGCGTTTGAGGTGCGCATGGCTCATACTACAGCAAGAAGCAACATGAAAGCCTTCAGCTTTGCACTTTTTCTAACTATGCTGCTTGTGATGTCAGTTGTGGTAGCCGGCGCAAATGTGAAAGGGGAATTCGACAAGCCACGACACGAATTCGATAAACGGACGACACCAAAGGCTGTGGTCACCTCTTCCAGTAATACGATTATTTTTACCGCAACCTTGGCCTTCATCTCAACTGTTCTCTGCACGTCCTTTTAAATGAAGCAGAGTGACTGATATACTTTGAATACTTCTTAGAACATTATGTTACATTTAATACAGTAATTTATGGCAGCATGTCTTCCTATTTATATCTTGTTTCATGCAGTTTGACTTGCAAAGCAGATGGGGAATTAATTTCAGTAAATATTTAGCCAAAGTTCTCTACACTTGCACATATATTCCACCTTTTTTGGGCACATTTCTTAGTCAGGCTAGTTTTAGATGTCTGTTCTGTTGTAAACCTTAGATTTAGAGAATTACATGCATTTGGAATGAGGAGGTAGAGGGAGCATCACCAAATTTAGAAGAATATGGGGACACTGTAGAATTTTTTTTCCAGGAATCGAGACTGAATAACCCAGTGCGCTAAATTAGTCTATATGAAAGCCGAATAAAGGCCCAAAGGTAGGTACTGCGGTCAAAACTTCGTGACACAACTAATTTTCGCGAAATCTGATATGCATACTGTTTCCATTAGCTCACTGATAATAGAGCCTTAGTTTGGAATAAGATAAAAAATTTTTGTCAATGACTACAGAAATTTGGACTAGCTCTTCAGAATGCACATTACCAGGCAAGCAGATTTACATGTACAGTGTGCTGCATTCAAAGATTACACTATACCGTAATTAAGGAGAATTCAATGCAACTTTGTCATCCTCAGAACTCAAATGCTTACACAGCAAGGACAAAATTACCCAAATTTTTTTCGAAAATAAAATGGACTTTCACTTTGCAAAACGAAGCATTGCACTCACCACTACTGCTCGGGATATGCGCAGTAAGAAGGACCAGTTTTGTGTACATGTTGTCCAAATTTTTAAAAGCTGATAGATTTGCGCTTGGCCGGCAAAGGCTCACAGCAATTAAGTGTTAAATGTAGGCGAAATCTTGCAGTCGTATTCACATTTAGCATTAGACAACATAGTAGGAAATGGAAGATTGTGCAGTTATGTTTGCTGTGATTTTTTCTCCAGTTGCCAAACCCATGAGTACGCTATCGTATCCGCAAATGGAATGCACAACCCACTACGGCGTTACTACAATCCTTTACTTTCCACGACAGAATAGCAATCCTGGTGGTAACCGTAACCAACAAATTTGAGTTAACAATTTGGCATTTTTCACCAACGGTAACTCATGGCTCCCTAAGTGCTCTTCTCCTCATCGTAAAGGAGGTAAATTTCTAAACTGATGTATTGCGATGAATGCTTTTTTCGCGTCAATTCAATACTGCGTTTCTACAATCGAGAATTTGGGCATATTTCAGTCTAGCGTAGCAAAATTACGCCTACTTAGTATAAAAACTTTTATGGCAAACTATTACACATACCATTGGTTATGCATTTGTATTTGACTTTGAGTCGAGTCGAGCAGGGAGAATTACATATGCATAGATGCTGTAGGTTCCTCCTCCATTTCATCCTCTGTTCGACCACTGTTTTGTTCCTCCTCGATGGTATTTGTTGTGGCAAAAAACGTTCATTGCCCAAACACGCGCTAAAAACATCTCTTCATCTACAAGTTCCAAAAGCTACAAATTGCGCCAAAGATAGCGCGAATTGTTATGGCTTATTAACAAGCGATTTGCAGTAAAATAGCTTGATTGGATAATTGCAAAAATTTAATAAGAGTGCCAGTTATAAATAAATAAACTTTTTGCATGCGAAAGATTGAAGTTCCTGGGGATGATCAGGGAAAAATGGTGGCCATTGTTGAAATGAGAAATGTCAATGCACTATCTGAAGTAATAGTCAGTGAATCCTTAGCCACTGCTGAAGGCTTACCTATAGAAGACAAGTTGGGATTCAGAGGAGCGCTTGTTCATCTACTTGGTTCGTACATGATTATGATCATGACATTTGCATCATTAGATTTTTTCGGAGATGAAACTCCGTATCTTCACTTTCCATAGCTCCACTGCATGGTTTTGCATTCCTTTCAATGGGTGTAAAAGATAATACACGGTTAGCAAACAGAGAAGAAGCGGCTGACAGTGACACCGAAACTGGTCATCAGTTGGTCGTTGATGAACTTCCACATACGTCTAGGGAGAGCGACATTAGCAACCTTTTCAGATGGTTAGGAGTAACCACCTTATAATGGTGGATGGAAGTTCCGTAAACCTTCGCAGCGTTCTCCACTGCAAGGGTACTCCAAATGGCAGTGGTAACGGTTCTCTTACGCCTCGGCACTGTAGATCTTTGCTTTCTCTTGCCTGACTATTTGAATGTACCCAGTTATGCACTTTAACTTTAAAATGTGGTCCATAACCACACCTAGTCTGCTTTGAAATTACTCTGGTGTTGCCAATACAAGCACTTTAGCCTTATCGCCAATGTAGACAAGTTAAACATTTAGAAAATGGTAAGGGTACAACTCATACAGACCTGGGAAACTACTTCATTAACAATGGAGCAGTTGACTTCGCCACTATCACTGACACAGATGCCTGGGTGGTACCTAAAAATTCCAAGTCTGTCAGCCTAGTTCTAGCTGCTCAGACTTACTATCGTATGGATAGTCAGAGTTTCCTGAGTAAGCAAGATGAAAAGAAAACCTTTCTAGTCAGATGCGACAAAAATTCATTGAATGAGAGGATGTCTATGATTGCATTACCATCAAGATGTAGGTTTGTTAGAGTCATTTTTAAAAAAGGGAAAGGTAGCGCCATTTTTGATCAATTTATGTTGATTTTAGAACTCCTGCTCTCACAAATATTTGGTAATATGAACTGGGTGCTCAGATACTTGCTTTGATCGGCTTTGAAAGAATGACAGAATTTTATCCGCCAGTGCCACTCGTTCTCGTTAGTAAACTTCAGTGCTTTGCTGATATCATTGTTTGGGCGCACATTTTCCTAAAGCAAGTGGCAGTTGAAAATAATCAAACTTTATTACTTATTCATACATTTAGTGGCGTAGGATGCTTTAGCTCAATTAATTTTTTATCTGCTTTTCGTTTCAGTGAGTTGCCTTAAGCGCAGCGTCTACAACTACATGACTTTCGAGATCATTATAGTGGAGAAGTTGTAATTTCCAGTACCCCTTTTAAATAAGTCGCTCAGGGAACTCATCCCTCTCTGCACAATAAAAAAATGTAAACAAAGTTGTCTGCTTCCTTGCACAGGAATGCGCCATTTCAGTCAGGTTTAACAGGGTAACCTAAAAATCATGTGCAAATAAATATGATGCAATGCTTAATGCTCAGTCTGTTCTACTCTTTCGCCACAGACACCACTGCAAGGGAAACCTTTGCGTGGGGAAATGCCTGAGGCACTGCAGAGTTAAAGACACACAGACAATTTATTGCTGACTCATGAAGGGCCACATCTTCATTTTTGTAGACATTCTATACTTAGTCGAATTATTCTACGTTGCACCTCTTGCGCCATTCAGACTCCATTTGTTCTACATCCATGAAGCGGTACAACTTTCTACTTTCTGCTCTTAGACTTCTGCCCTCCGTGCATGCATGTAGGCCACCATCCACGGGTATATAACCATGCTTAATCAGTTGCACTGATTTGCCCTGTGACATAGTTGTGGAAGACTTTGCCAGCTATACGTCATTAACTGTTTTGCCACACATTTATGCAATTGATAACACTACCGTCAACTCCTCATCCTCCACATATGCCTATGGACTCCCAGTTTCGTCTGGAGTTGGCTACTGGATCGAAAAAGACCACTTCCATTTACGATTTGGACACTGGAGGTATTACGCTACATTCGTACTTACAGGACCATCACAGGTAGTGTCAATTCACATACATATTAATTTAAAGACAAATTCTTATCTGCAAAAAGCCCTCCACTGAATCACTTAGTGATCCACTCGGGTGAATATCGGTCACACAGTGAATATAAGAAATGCCTACTTTCCTATCTGTGCCCCAATCAAAAGTCATTTTTTGCTCAAACAACTCACAGCCCTCTGCACACTCCACTTATGAGATAGATTTCGGTTGAATTTATCGCTTTGTCACTCCACCCTCAGTCAAGTCGTGTGATGTGTGTCTCACCCATAGCTTCAAACTATCATGCACTTTTACCACTTCCATTGGTCAGTCTCAAAGGCGGTATAATTAATCAGTGTGGTACATTGTCACAATTCGGTTTGTACAATTCAGCTTGCATAATCACAACTGACACACATGATTCAAACCACGCTCCGCCTCTTAAGCAATCCTTTAGCTTGATTAAGTGTTACACACCTCTCGTGTGTAACAATTATTGTGTCACTTATTTCAAATTGAGTGAACTAGAGTGTATAGACAAGTGTGTTAACCCATTTAACCCATTTTTAGTCTACCGTAGGTGTGCAATCAAAGTGAAAATATGGTAGGTATCAATGAAAAAACAGTCTTTGTGCCGCCTCACTGCCCAGACGAATGACAATGATCATGATAACATTAGCTGCAGCACTTTGAGATCTCCTCTGTCAACTACGTGACTATCTGTGGATTTGCCTTCCTTGTTTGAATGTCATCCCGTCAGCAGTTGACTATCACGTTACTTTATGGGTAGCGCCTGCTCCCCTCGCTCTGGTTCAGTGGGCACATATCTTCCATCTGACTGTACGCACTTCATTTCTGTTCAAAGGGGTTTAGTTTCCATCCACTCCATTAACCCGCAGATTGGCAAAGAGCCATACACCCTCTGTTCTCCGTTTCTTACGTGCCTCTAAACAATGGGAATACGAGCTCTGCAAATCTTCCATAACGCACAAATCAGTGAGTAAGACGTTTAGCGCTATATTATTGCTACGATGCATTTTCGCCTCTTGTTTGATATAAGTATTTGGTTTGTACTGCATAAACATCGAACCCCACTGGTTAAGGTGTTGCACATCCAACGAATACATGGTTTCGTATTTGTTTGCAATGACTTGACACTTGAACGACTTCAGTCCCGCCATTTGTGATCAAGTGCTTTCCCTTCCATGACTCCATTACTCCTGCGACATTGGAGAGCAAAGTTGGGTGCGACACAGCACTGGTGTGATTTTCCCTTGCCTCGGCTGTCAATAAATCACTTTTTCCGACTTTAACTTGAACAAAAATGTGCAGTTTGGCTTCGTCTTTATTAATAATTCTTCGAATTTAAGGGAGAGAATTTTTAAGGCTTGAATTAGATAAAATGAGAAAGTAGTCTAGATACTCAAAAGAGACTGAGAACAAAACTAACCTTCAAGCGAACCATCCGTGCGCAGAATTGTGAGATGCACACCAAGCACGAGGCTATTCGGATTTCAGCTTGAAGCAAATTGCTCGTCTAAACCGCTTTAACTGCTAGGTAAGATAATAAAAATAATGAAGCCCTTCTAGTTGGAGTGCGACTTTCTCTTTCTACCTGTCCATTACCTTGTGAATGTCCAAGTGTCATGCATGTTTTGGGAATCCTCAAGGTCCTACCTGGCTCAGTGAGTGATTGTATGCACACATGATATCACACTCAACAGTCACTAGGTCTTGGTCCACATTGAAAGGGCCTCTACACCTTCACCATACCAAGCATTTAATTTAGGCGATGCAGTAGAGCGGATGCCACTATCTACTATCTTCTACGGTTCTCATGCAGACATGTTTGATCCCGTGACACGAAATCAAGCGAATGGCGCAGCTGCCCCACCGGTAGCCGAAAATGGGGCGATGCATGTGTTTTTGTAACAAGCATTCAATTTCTCATTCATTTAGACATAGACAGGGAAGGACACGATGCCCTGATGTAGTTCAAAGATGCAATATGTGGTTTTCTTTCTCTAAGGGGCATCTGGACTCAAACTCAATAGTCAACCAAAAGAGAACCGAAAACACACTAGTTTACACACATTTGACAAGTAAGAGTAAGACTCTCATCGAATGTACATTATGCAAACAAAAAATTATGGATACCTTTGAATGGAAATGGAATATTTACGGTACAGACTAATTGCAGTGCAGCAGAGAGTCGTTTAAACGGGAAGGTTTACTACTTACTCTTATACTCAATAGGTGTTTATGTATAATAAATTCACATATTCCTACATTAATAGGCTATTTAGAGTTTAAATTGTGCAGGTAATGAATTTTTCAAAATGCTGCCTTTAATGATGTCATTACAATAGAATGGATTAGTAATGAATGAAATTAGTGCACCCAATAAAGTAGAGTTTGCATTCTGATGGAAATTTTTACCTGCTTTTCAAATGCCTGGTGGTACATGAAGGAAATAAACTCAAAACCCATACCACCTTAATCAAAAATCAGTAGCAATGCAATTCATAAATACCTGTTTGTTGAGGTTGAACTATCTGAAAAGCAAAGCTCATCTCTTAAGTACTTATTGGCACTTATTGTTTGTTTCCTTCTCAACTTTAGTGTAATTCGTGTATTCATCGCATTGAGACAGTTGCTTGGATAGATGCCTCGCATTTGGCCATTAACTCAGTCATTCACGTCTGCTATTACTGAGTCGATGTTCGATGAGATAAGAGTAAATACCCAGGTTTATCCATGATGTTCAGCATGCACATTTGTAAAACGGTAGTTGGACTTGCAGTAGTTGTCTCTTTCCCCAGCCTGAAGCAATACTATGAGGAATGTAAACTCCACGCTTGATTTTCATGTCTCCATGTAGACAATCACTGGGTAGGCAAAAAGACTAAAAATTGAGATTAATAAAGCATCTAAACAAAAAATTCCATTGATGTTGGCTATTTCCCGTGCCATATGTGAGGATGTCTTACAAATGAAATGAAGGATAGATCTGAGTTTTTGGCCAATAATGTTGATCGGTAACTGCCAATTAAGAGATATATTCTCAGATTTAGGGCGTACTTCATATTCATTCTTCATCACACTTACAACATTTGTTAACCTTTTGAGTTCAAATCGAATGACAGTATCGTAGCAATGCCGTGGGAGTCTTGTTTGAGTTAGCACACATACCTCCCAAATGCACCTAAAACTAATCAAATGACTAGGTGGTATGTTCCTACTACCGAATAAAACTTGTTTTATTATAGTTTTCTATTGCTTCCCAACATACGCAACCAGTGATCTGCTTAGGAAAAACCGAGACAGTATCTTACATAACATTCTTAGTTAATTTGATGCTTTGCGTGGTTGGATTGTGCACTCTTCGCTAATGCTGGACCTGCAAATCACAGGGAATTCAAATAGTGCTTACTTGTTAAACCTGGAGGTGACACCGATTTACTTATCATTTTGACGCACTACAGCGACATCTGGGAGGAGGAGAAGCCTCATGGCTACTCCCTCCAATTGACGCCCTATCAAACAGCTCATTCATTGCAACATTTCTGCCATACAAATATTTTGAAAATTATCTTTCAAGTGTTAAATGTCTTTTAGCATCGTTCATTGAATATTCTTTTATCTGGCTGACCTATTCGAAAGTTAAGCTACATCCGTTATGCCCAACTGCTGTTCATAACTTCTGGACATGGTCAGCCATAACACTGCTCTCCCTCCATTAAAGAGGTTACAAATATCACTTGTCTATCACTAAGCGGCAATTGCGCTACTGTCATCGCTATCACCACTGATGACCTGTTAGAGCGACTTGCTCACCTGACCGTTGGATGTCTGTTCTCATGCCATTACTGCACTATTAAAATTACGATAAGTGCATCATGATAAGTAAAGTGAGCGTGGCCCCCTGCATGGATTGTTTAGATGTTTAATAATGGCCCTTCTGCTCCCTTTGTGCCTTTGGTATAGTGAGACCATTTCATTTCACACAGTCTCAAGACTTTATGAGAAGCAACAGATCCTTCCCAAGTTTTCATCTATTTGGTAAATATTGGCATTTACTTCATTGCTTGAAATCGCTTGTAGTAGAGCCACAAAATTGATCACGAAATGCAGTACCTCTACAGCGAAGTTGATTCAAAATTACCTCTAAGTATTTGCAAAGTAGGATGACGGACGCAATGATGCATGCACCGGCGCTTCATTCTTAAGTGCAGGTCCCTTACTTTCATCTTTACAGAAAGCTTTTTTGGGTAGTTAATGGGTTCGCTTCGTTACACAACTGATCTCAGTGCACGATATTTAATTCCTAATACTACGGTATTATGGATGCGTCTGCTAGGTGTCAAGAAAGTGCTGAATGACAAAACGAGGTGAAGCATAGCACTCTGTCTTTATACGGTTATTAGTATTGACGGTCAGTATTCCTGTAGATGCTTTTTACGGGTAAGCTCTAGCACTCCTCCCATCTTATATC